AACATTGACAGGTTGTTCTACAGACCTCCTTCAAAACCTGGAAAAGATTTTGGGGGCGGGGACACTACATTTTGCACAGGCCATGTTGCCTGGGGGATTCTGGGAGATGTAATTCAAAGATCTGCTCCCTATTAGTTTTACTTTGTGTGTCAATTCTGGAAAATGTGGCAATTAAGATGAAATTTACCCTGTCCATTTCTTTTCTGCCTGGCCCCTTAAAATGTAGGTCTTCAAGGCCGTTCAACTCTAAGTTACATAAGCTGGCCTGTCATTTTACCCAATTTAGGACTCTGGGGAAGAATATAACATGAATTTGAGATGTATTTTATTTTGCTTTATTTGGGGAGAAGTTTAACCTGTTCATAAATATTGAGAAAGAAAATATCATGTGCAGTCCAGAGGGTCTCATTACTCAATGAACATTTTAGCATTAACAGGACCTAGTGGGACAATCGGTTGTATACATGACATATAAAACTATGTTGGATACACTCTAAGCATGTTCTCTTTGTCAGTGGTGGATAAGATATTCCAAGAGCAAGGAGAAAATGAATCCCCCAAGTACACAGGTCTCAATTTTCCAAGACCTTTCAAATGTTCACTGCAGCCCTTTCCCCGACCTTAGTTCAGCCAGCTTACAAGGTCACCATAAGCATAGGAATGAAGGGCCATATTGCTTAGCGCATTGCTTGCATACTGTTTGCCTCATATTCAATCTCAAGTGCTTCTGCTTTAAAAGGTCTTAGGTATCAGTTCTGGTGCTATGCCAAAAGGTTTTCCCATGCAAATTTCAAGCATTCTCATTCCATTGGCCGAAAAAAGGAAAAAAGGGGGGGAAAAAAGAAATTCTCCTCAAACAAGATATCAACAGAGAAGAACTTTCAGATAAATTCTCATGGGTAAGATTCAATATTCCTGTGGTGGACCTATGAGGTGATGAAGGTGTGCATGCTTTGTCTTTCAAATGTATGACCATCTCTGTGGCAGGTGGCAGCCCCCTCCCCCATAACTTCCCACAATTCAGTCAAAGCTCGAGGGTGGGGGGAAGACAGCATCAAATAACAAATTCCCTGGGGCCTTTTTGGATCAGAAATTTGCATAGCTGGGGAAGTTGCAGAACGAGTAAGTGATGAGAAATTGAAAGGAAAAAAAATACACCATTCCTTATTCTCTTACAGCTCAAATATGAAACCAAAAGAAAGGCAGAAAAATGGAATTCTCTTCCACAGAATAAAATTTTTTGGCAAACTGGAAGACATTGGCACAGCATCAAGTTCACCTTTTTCATGCATCTGAGCACAATACTGTCCGACTTCATATTTGGACTTACAGGAAAGAAGTCATATAATAAATATATTTAAATAAGAGAGGAAATATCTATAATAGCACATTTAAAATACAACATTTGGAGGACCTTGGAAAGGTAGTGACTCACAAAGAATGACACATGATGAATCAAGCTTTTTCTGGAGGTATTTTCTGATAAACATTTGTAGAATTTTCTTTTTCTTACTCCCCTAGAAATAGAAAGTGACTTTGCTGAATTATTTCCAAAACCTCTCTGTCTTTTTGGGAGAGAGAGGGAAAGGAAGGGAGGGAGTCTGCTTCTCCTCCTCTTCCTTCTCCTTTACCACCACCATCACATTGTAGAATAATCCTAGGCAGAAAGCATCGTCGAAGAAAGACAATAGTGGCCAGACTGTTGGCAGAGTTGCTGTTGCTGCTTGCACTGGCACAGAAA